TCATGGAAATTTTAGGAAGAAACTTCTTTATTAAAGCTAAGAAAAGAAGCTGCATGAAGAGAACTTGAAGCTGAAAGAGAAAGTGGAAAAAAATAGTGTGAAGGTATATTGTAAAGGTGGACACCCAAGGGTACCTACACCTATGCTGCCTCGCCCATTAGGGCATACGCTACGGAACTACCTACAAACAGCAGCCACCACAACGAAGAGAACGGATTCGGAAAAACCCAAAACTCCTGCCGGCAGGCTGGTGTGAGCGGTTTAGCCACGACCATCATACTTGCAGCAACGAATCCCCACGTTGATGCCAGCCGTCCCCACGGGGAATCACGGGGAGGCCCACTCACAGTACCACGACCCTAGATACTCGTTCCGTAGGATAGGATGGGATTGGAAGGATGTAAGGTTTAGGGAAAAAGTTGGGTGGTGTATTGAAAAAAAAAAAAGTAAAAAGGGGGATGCGCACGAGCTTCCCGACCCTGTCCTGTTCGAGGGTGGGTTTATCTGAGATGCTTACAGGCTCCCACCCCCATTACCGGGGCTCCGACGATCCCAGCTGAACAGGACTTACGAAACTAACAACCCTTGATTAGGAGGGTATCTTTACAAAACTCGGCGAAAAGGGAGAAGGCCTCAGCTGTGGAGGCAAGATGTCTCGCTGCTTCTGACCAGCTCCTTCCACCGAGAATTTCCTCCAGAGCCACTCCCTGGGGTTCGAACACCGGACAGTCCATGATGTGGTGCGAAACCGTGTCTTGTTCGCCACACTCGCAGGTTCCTTCTGGGATGACATTAAGTTCCTTCAGTTTGGCCTTAAACGCTCCATGTCCTGAAAGAAGCTGAGACGTGAAATGGTTAGTGGAGACGAACCGGGCACTCATCCTTTCCTTGATGTCCGGGAAGTATGCATAGGTGGTCCCTCCTTTCCTGGAAACCTCCCACCTGGCTTGCCAAATCCTGTAAATATCCTCATTAGCATTCCTAACTATCTCGCGTTTGTTCCTCGTACCTTCCAGTTGTCGCGTCGTTAGTTCGGTGTTCCTATTTCTTCTGGCTTTGTATAACTTCCTACGTTTTGAGAGCTGAAGATCGATCGGGGGCTTCGCCGCTATGACGCAGAGGGATTCCGTCGCGGTTGTTCGATACGCCGAAGTAACCGAAATGAGAGTCGATCGCTGGGTCGCGCTTAGTTTCCTAAGATCTCCTTCATTGCAGAGATCCGACCAACCCGCTGCCGCATACGTAACCGTAGGGGTAAAGACGCCTCGATAGATCGTCCGCAAGGCGTGGTGGCGGAGTCCCCATTCACTTGCCGCTAATCTACCTAGCTTCGCGAAGAGCGGTCCCACTTTGTCGCTAATGTACCGACAATGTGATGTGACCCCCAGCCCTTTGTCAAAGTCTACCCCGGGGTACCTAACGGAATTCTTGAACTTGATAGAGTTGTTCCCTATTTTGATGGTGCGCGGCCTGCTAGCTAAGTCTGTTTTCCTCGTGGTCGTTTTACGCTTTCGATTCGGGCGTAGCCCTCCCCTCCTACCTATGGGTTTCCTCTTCACCCAATCGCTTTTAAGAACTATCGCCTAGGTTTTCCGCTCGGAGATCGTCAGTTTCGCCGACGAGCACCATTCCGTGATGCTTTTAACCGCTCGATTTCCCTTCTCTTCCAGTTCCTTCCCGGAGTCCCCGTCTAATATGACGAGTAAATCGTCCGCATACGTCAATCTTGATGTTCCAGCAGAATGGGCCAAGGACCGATCCTTGTGGGCATCCTCTCGAAGCCTGTTTGGAAATCTTATGCTCCCCTAGAGCGATTTTAACCTTGCAGTCCGCGAAGTAGTCTGTCATTACGTTAAAGACATTTCTCGGCAGTCTCGATCCCGGAGTGCCTTAAGAACTAAGGGCCATCAGACATTGTCGAAGGCTCCCGAGATGTCGAATAGCATTGCAATGACATATCTCCGTGAGGAGGCAGAAACGATACGGTGCATCTCTACTATAGCGTCCTCGGTGGAGCGACTCTGGACAAAACCAAATTGTTTGTCCGAAAGTTTTCCCGTAGCGAGGGATGTTTCGTTGAGGCGCAACTTAAGCAGCCTTTCTAGAACTTTCCCTATAATTGAGAGGAGACAAATGGGCCAATAGGATTTGGGGTCCTCCGCGTCCTTGTCCACACCTTTAAGAAGTGCTCTTAAGGAGCCCTTCTTCCAGATAGATGGGAATATGCCCCACTTGAGGCATCCATTAAAGAGGTCTACGAATTGGTATGGGATTACGGCAAATGCTTTCTTGAGCAGGCATACCTCGATAAGATAGGGGCTCGGGGCCTTTCTGTTTCTAAGGGTTCCTACTACACGTTCGACCTCTTCCTTCGTGAAGAGAGGGGCATCCTCGGTTGCAGGGACGTTTCGGGAAGTACTGCGTACCGCGCGCTGTTCCGTCGTATCTTCGGACACACAGTCATCCGGCACATGCGTGTTGAGGAGGACTCTAGCCGTATTGCGATCGTACGTGGTTCTGTCACCCTCTCGCTTCAGGGCGTTTATCACTTTTTCTACGCGGAGTTTTCCCGCCTGCTGTTTATAAATGTAACCCCACCGGTCCGCGTTACACTGTTCCGTGACGAATTTCCGCCAGCTTTCTAGATTCGCTCGTCGTACCGCCTTGCTATATTCCAGCAACGACGAACGATATTCGCGCATTAGCCTGTCACGTGCCTGGACATCTCTTTCCCTTTGGAGAACATGTCTTAACCAGAAGACCGCTTTCTTTTGTATAGTTAGCGCGGATGTCCACCACGGGTTGGAATTTCAGTGAGTCTTCTTTCGGGGCATGGACTCAGAGCATGCGGTTTGTAGGAAACTGGTGAGTGCCTTGGCTCGTGTCTCTACATCTGAAGTCGATTCTAAGGTACTTCCCTCCAGCCTTGCCGCGGTGAGGAAGAGTAGGCGCTCAGCGAACAGGTCTCAATAGGCCCTCCTGGTGTTGAACCTGGTTGGTGTTGAACCTCCTGGTTTTGTTCCCCGCGCTCCGAGCCCCTCCCCCCATTCTGACTCAGCCTTCGGGGGATATATCGCGAAATCGATCGAATTATGATCGCTGGACATCCATCCCGTTCTCACTTTCCATTGGCCTACGAGTCGGTTCATGGATTGTGACGATAGAATTACGTCGATGTAAAAGGAGCCTATTGTAGTCCAATACGTGGGAGGCTGTTTCCCATCATTAATAACGTTTAACGCGAATTCCTGAATGAGAGCCTCTAATTTGGAGCCTATCTCGTCAGTGCCCTGAGGGTCCCAAAGAGGAGATCGCGCATTGGCGTCCAGTGAGATGATTACTCTCTTCCCCCTTAAAGCACAAAGTACCGATTCCATGCCTAAGGTGCTCCTCGATTTCGTCGCTGTATTGAAATTAATGAGAGACGACATAGAAGAAGGAGCCGGGTGCCGCACAGACCCAGTGCGGTGTGCTGAGCTGCGATATAAATACCAATGCGATGTTCGGATTGGTCGCCGCTACCGCTGACCAAGGTCTTTCGTCGTAAGTGACAGCTTTCCTTTTTCCGCTACGTAATCCTATGATTTCGTATTCTATCCCGTGCTTTTGAACGTACGGCTCCTGCAAGAGCAGCACGTCTAGGTGCTTCTGATTAGTCATTTCGCGTATTTCACCTGTAACCGTAGTAGAACACCTCATGTTGAGCTGCAGAAGATGGATTTTCGAGGACACTCAATTATCCGGGAGGGGGGATTGGTGGAGGTCGTGTTGTTGCCGCAGATTGAGACGCAGGGTTCGGCGATGGTATTTGGCGGTACCTTAACTACGGGGTCAACGTCTATCGTGCAAGTGGTCTCAGGGGATACCTGTGAGTCGTGTTCCTCAAGGATTTCTGATGGGGCTAAGTTTACCTCTTTTGCAGCTTCCGATATTGGGGGTTAGACCGTGGTGACTTGCTTTCAATGATCGGTAATAGGGGTTTATTTCTTCGCGTTATTCTGGTCCTATTACTGCTGAAGTTACGGTTATCTCTAGGGGCTGGGGGCACATGTCCGTTTCCGGAAAGGATTGTGCAGATTGCATACGAGCGTATGCACGCGTTCGCGGTCGTGTGGTTATTTGTGCACACTGGATTCCGTTTGACCTGTCTTTTTCCCCGAACTGGAAGGACGTATCGCACCTAATCCGGTATTTGTTTGCGCGGCCTTAGAAGATGACCTATTGTATCTTTCTAACACAATTATAGCCTCTCGAAGACTGGCTATCACCTGAAGCAGTCCGGTTTTTGCGGGGCAAGGAACGCAGCTGTGGGTCGCGCGGTGAGTGTCCTTGGATGACGTTCGCACACCTGATCGGCTTGTTGCTGCGTTCCTACGCTGCCCTAGGCTAGAAGTGCATCCGTACTTCGTCGGCTTCGGGGTCGCGCTATTGCATTAAGCGAAGTTATATCTGAACTTCTCCTGACCACGCTAACCGCCCCTGAGAAAGCCTCCACTCGGTGATCCGAACGGGAGGCTAGTTTACCTCCGGAATTTTTATCCCCAAGGATAACCATCTTGGAATATTTAAGAAGCAACTTCTTTATTGAAACTAAGAAAAGATACTGCAAGAAGAAAACTTGAAGCTGAATGAGAATGTGGAAAAAAAATAGTGTGAAGGTAGACACACTGCTGGGTGCCAGTACCTATGGGACCTCGCCCATTAGGGCATGCGCTACGAAATCACTTACAGACAGCAGCCATCACAGCCAAGTGACTGGACTTGGAAAGAACTAAAACTTTTGTCTGCGAGACAGGGTGAGCGGTTTGGCCACGACCAACATCCTCACAGCAGCCAATCACCACGCTGATGCCGGCCGTGTCCATGGGTAACCACAGGGAGGTCTACTATTTGTGTGACGATTCTTGACACTCGTTCCGTAGAATAGGATGAGAATTTTGGATTATTGGGTTTTTGGGATTGTGCGCTTTGTAGTTAGACAAAGAGAATAGGGAGATCCATGTGAGCGTCTCCGATCCTATTCTGTTCGGGAGTCAGTTTTCCTGAGAAGATTACAGAAACCCACCCTCAACACCAGAACTCCGACAATCCCAGCTGAACAGGATTCGTGAACTAATGGTTCTTAATGAGGAGGATTTCTCTATAAAATTCCGCGAAGAAGGAAATGGCTTCGGCCGTGGAGATAAGATTTCTCGCTCCTTTTGGCCTACTGCTTTAGTGGAAAATTTCTTTCAGAGCAAATCTCTGATGTTCGAAAACCGGATATTCTGTGATGTGATGCGAAACCGTATTATCTTCACCACACTTACATGTTCCATCCGTGACGAGATTCAGCGACGTTAGCTTTGCCTTGAAAGCTGCATTTCCTGAAAGAAATTGTGTTGAGAAATAGTTTGGAGAGACGAAACGGGCACCCATCCTTTTCTTGATGTCCAGGAAAAGAGCAAGTGTCCTTCCTTTAAAGGAATTTTCCCACTGTTTTTTGGGATTTCCGCACCGAGTTGTTCTAATGACGCGCGCTTAAGCTTCATGTCTTCCAATTTTCGAATCGCTTTTTCAGTGTTCCTGTTCTTCCTAAGGACTTATAATATCCTCTGTTTGTATAATTATAGATCAGTCGGGGTCTGCTTTGCTATGACGCATTGAGATTCCGTTGCGATTGTGCGATCTGCGGATGTGTCTGAGATAAGGCCGATCGTTGAGTCGTGCTCAACTTCTTGAGGTACACTTACGTGCAGAGATCATTCTGTTGCCGCGTACGTCACCGTAGGGGCAAACACTCCGCGATAAATTGCTCGGAGGTCGTAGTGACGAAGTCCCCATTCCCTAGCAGCTACTCTACCTAGCGTTGCTTAGAGTCTACCGACTTTGTTTTTTAGGTAACGGCACTGTGTCGTGACTCCCAAGCATTAGTCGAAATGTACCCCAAGACATCTTACGGAATTCCTAAATTTTATACTATCATTCTTTTTCTTTATGGCAGGAGGCCTGCTAGTCCGTTTTTTTTCGATGTCTTCCGTTTCTTATCCGGACGTTGTGATCCTCTTCTATCGATGGGTTTTCTTTTCACGCAATCGCTCTTAAAGATGATCGCTTCCGTCTTACGCTCGGAGATGGACAATTTCACGGTGGAGTACCATCCGGTGATGCTATCTACCATGCGATTCCCTTTCTCTTCGAGTTACTTTCTCGAATCTGCAGCTACAATAACGAGTTGATCGTCCGCGTACTCTATCGCGTTGACTTTTGAGGATTCCTCTAGTATCCTGAGATGCTGGTTGAACATGAGATTCCAGGAAGAAGGACCAAGAACTGATCCTTGAGGGCATCCTCTCGAGGCCTGCTTTGATATCTTATATCCTCCCAGAGCGATTTTGACCTTACAATCCGCGAAGTAGCTTGTCATATCCTTAAAGGCGTTTCTTGAACCGTTTCGATTTTTAAATGGCTTGAGGACTAGAAGCCAGCATACATTGTCGAGTGCTCCCGAGACAAAGAACAACAGCGCGACAAGATATCTCCGTGTGGAGGCAGAACAATTCGACGCATTTCCACGAATACATCTTCCGTTGAATGTCCCTGGACGATGCCAAACTGTTTGTCCGTAATTTTTCCCGTGAGGGAGGCGTGAGGGAGGTTTCGGTGAAGCGTATTTATCAGCCGTCTTTCCAAAACCTTTCCCATGACGGAGAGAAGACATATCGTTCGGTAATATTTGGGATGTTCCGCGTCTTTATTTTATCCCTTGAAGAGTGCTCTTAAGGAGTACTCTTTCCAAATAAAAGGGACGGTGATTCATCGGTAGTATTCGTTGAAGAGATCTACAAAATGAGTCGGGATAACAGTGAATGCTCTTTTGAGCTCACACTTCGATCAGATCCGGCCCCGGGTCTTTACCGTTTTTAAGGGACCCTACGTCCTGCGCGCGACCTCTTCCTCCGTGAAGAGAAGGGCATCCGCTGTTTCGGGAGCGTTTCTCGAAATGTCTTGTATCGCCCGCTGTTCCGGTGTTTCTTCGGATACGCAGTCGTCCGGTACGTGCGTATTAACTCTTTCGTTGTGGAGTGCTCAGAAAAGAATTGCTCTCTCCGCAGCAAGTGCGATAGTTGAAGGTTGTTTTTGCGCGGATAACATGATACGCGAGTCGTTCCTAAAACGGTTTGCGGAGCCACTTTTGCTGGTCTTTTTCTTGAAGTGGCTGGCCGGCAAGCCGGCCAAACAATAATAATATTAATATGTACAATATTAGTAATTTCCAATAATTTTTTATAATCTTAAATAGTCTTTAGCAATCTTGAATTATCACTCCTTGAATAATAAAATTTGAAGCAGGGTTCTATACATAATCCCACGTTACACTCTTTACACTCGAATCGTGTTTCGGTTCGCTTTTTGTGGTTGCTGCAAATTACACATTTCCGGCGACCGTTTTACCAGATTCCTATAGGATTGATATATTTTGATGGATAATGTCCTGGAACTAGTTGTAAAAGATTATCTTTGGATTCTGTTTGGCCACCGCACTTATTGCTGTATACATTTTCATTTGGATAGTTTAGTAAAATTTCATGAATGAGACATAAATGAAATTTTGCAAATGTTATGTTCTTTATGGATATAATTTTGTAGAGTATGAAAGTATTATGAATGGAAAGGTTCAGCATGTGGAAATAGAATTTCCTAGACCACTTCAAAGTTGTACGAATAGTATTAATTAAATTTGTAAACTGCTCCCTTAACGCGGTTATAGTCTACAATAACAGTTGGTTTTAATATTTGTGTTCCTGTTACATTTTTTTTTGTTTCTATATACTCAGCAGAATGATAGCTTGATAACATTAACACTTCTCTTTTGTTCATCCATTTTAGCGCTAATAGTTTATCCGTAGACTGAAACGTAATTTCGCCTCTGGATAATTTATTGAGTATATTTAAATATTTTATATTTTATTTTCCTCACTGTTTTAAATGCATTTGTCTTATTATGATATAGGAGCGAAAATAATGCCGGGGTTGAGTACCAGTTAGTGATCAAAACATGATCTTTATTTAGATACAGTTCTATCAGCGTCATAACAATATTCCCTGATTTGCCAATATCTGCTAAATGATTGTCATTTATATCCGTGCGTGCTCTACAATGGACAATAAAATCTTCGATATATCCTGTATGACAGTTTCAAATTACATACGACTTAATATCAAATCTACTTCGTTTTGAAGGTATATTCTGCTTGAAAAAACATCAATCTTTGAAAAGCAGCATACTTTCGTCGATGCATAAATGCTTGTACGGGTAAAATGCCCGCGAAAAAAAATTACGCAGTCTGTCGATGATGCTTTGTATATTTATTATCGCATCTGGTCTTGTCTCATTATTGTCGTGGAAGTGCAAAATTTGTAACAGGGCTATATATTTGTTTTTTTTTTCATTATTCTTGGAATATTTTCCGTGCGTATTAATTTGTCGGTTGACCAATATTTTTCGTCTATTTATAATTTTTTTACTCTTGACAGTAACATCGACAGAACAAAAAATCGTTACATTTCGGTCACTATTGTATTTTTCCTAGACATCAATCGCGAGTGACTACTGCATATAGTTTTCATGGTATAATAATTATTGGATTCTCTCACATTATGTTCAAGCATAGTTCTGGAAAAGAAGTTGAGAATTTTCAATTATTGACGATTTATCGTTAATGTTTGTTTTAACTCCTGATAGAGTTTCATCAAAATCAAAAACATTCGGAATTAATTTCTGTGCGTTCCAAAGAAATTTTCGTGGATCGATGTCAGGTAATACTTTAACATTTTCAGAATAAGATTCCGAGCTACTTGACAGTATGCGTCTCCTGTAGTATGAGTATTGGCTTTTTACCTTTGTATTTAATTTCTCTAAGAATTGCAGAAAGGTTAGAATCCGATGATTCTTCTATATCATCGCAGATTATATTTGTCCGTTTGTCCATTATAAGGGCACAATCTGTGGATAAAATTATTTGATTATTCAAAAAAATCTTTGCACAAGAAGCGTGTGCAGCTAACGCGTCGAAGACAAACGAATTAATGGCCATTATTTTGCATTTATTAATAGCAAAAGATGCAAAACAAATGCACGGCGCCTATAGGCGCTGTTCGCTTAGGAGACGCGTCTGTAGTTGAGCGCATAAAGGCACTTTTCGCATTGGAAGGGTTAACCGTTGCCCTCCCTCTTGCAGCTGCAGATGTCTGTTGCCGTACATGACGACGAACAAGTCGTCGACGTATTCGATTGCCTCACAGTCTTCTTCCTCCAGTTCACTTATGACGACGTCGAAGACGACGTTCCAGAGGTTCGGTCCGAGAATCGATCTTTGCGGTCATACTCTCGAGACCGACTTGCCAACATTCCTGTATCGTCCGATTAACTTCACGTAACAGTTCGCGAAGTAATTGATGATGAGATGGAAAGCGTTGTGCGGGCATCGTAGCTTCAGTGCATTCATCACGCTGGGCCACCATAAATTATCGAACGCTTCTGAGATGTAGGTTATCTCGAGTACGTACTTCTACTCTCTTTCGTGGACGATCGAGCGGAGTTTCAGTATCCTGTCCTCCGTGGATTTCTCCTTCCGGAATCCGTACTGCCTATCAGATGTGATTTATTCCCTCGTGATCGTTTCTCGTAGACGAATTGCGATCAGCTTCTCGAGTATCTTCCCGAGTACTGAGAGCAGGTATATCAGCCGAAACGATTTCGCTCCGGATTCGTCCTTTTTCTGGATTTTAAGGAACGCTCCGATCAAACCCATTTTTCATGGTTTCGGGAAGAGGCTCCACCGAAGATAACCGTTCATTATGACAGTAACTTTACGAAGGAGGTATACGCAAGCTCTTTTCAGGACTTCCACCTAGATTCCATCCTGGCCCGATGCTTTCCGTTGCCCAGGCTGTTCATTGCGTGGGCGACCTGGATCTCCATGAAGACTTCGCAGTCCTCAGTGTCGGGTTCCTGACCCATGGCTTCACGATCGTTTTGCTGCCACTCGCAGGTGTCCACTTGGTCGTCGTCGGGTACGAACGCGTTTAGAAGGTCAAGCGCGGCTCTGTACTACGTTGGAGGTAGGTTGTCGCACTGTCGCAGTTGCATTAGCCATTGCATAGAAGGAACTGAAAGTCCTCCATCTTTAACATTGGCATGAAAATAAGAGGAAATTTTGTCTTAACGCGAAGAGGCTCTATTATGGTTTTAATGGCGGAAGTAACTATAACTCTCTTAAGTCATAGTTAGCAAGTAGTCGTCCCCTCTTTTCAGGTCCCGGAATCGACTGCCCTTCGAAGGAAATTCTCTTGAAGGTGGGTTGGCCAAGAATTGCCTCTGCGGAACCACGGTTCTGGAGGGATACCAGCCCCCTCAACCGCTTTCAGGCCAAAGTACAAGAAAAATAGCCTCGGATGGTTTTAATAATTTTGGAGAACTCTCTGGTTTTTCCGGCATGAGTAGTCCACCAACTTATTGGTGCGGAATGGACGGATATGACAGGACTTGGGATACAGCTAGGGGAAGAAGTATGCATGAACAACGAATGCATAAGAATTGATGAAAAATGATGGAAAAATTCTATCATCTCTGGAAACCAAGAAGGCGCCATGAAGTGACGAAGAATCTAGCCTCATCGCGAGGTAAGAAGTAAGATTGCTCCAAGTTTGCGCCAAATTCTTGAATGTGGCTCTCATGCTGTATTTCCCAATCCGCACGCAAGAGGCCATTAAGAGTCAAAGACGCTACCAGCGTCATAAAGATCGAGTTCAGCATTACCTGGCAGAGCAGCGAAAGGGAACACATATGGAACCAGAGTTAAGCTTTGTTGTAACTGATGATCCAATAATTGACTTCATAAGGGCTATTATTGAGAAAATGATAAATGCAACCCGTTTATTGGTTCCGAATTTCGGGCTGGTAGGTTGGGGACGATTTATAAGAACATGTTAACATGGTCACAGGACGAGATAGCGGCAGAAGTGAACGCTTATCTCTTGGAGAAACTTCATCCGAGACCATGTAAGGCTGGCCAACGGCCGACTCGAGAAGTTAAGAACGGACAGACAAAGAGGCAAGTTCGTAGGGCAGAATATGTGATAACAGACAGGGCGTGTAGGGAAGGCCCATGCGAATGTCTTCGTGTTATCCTAAAAAGCGCATCCACCACTAACGCCCCAAGAGGTAATGGTCCTCTATTGGCGGGCCATCATGTCAAAATCAAGCAGCTTGTCTCCGTGGGTTCAGTTTGTTCCAACAAACGAAAAGAAAGCGCCACTGACACCAATCGAGCCAACCGAAATTTATCGGGCTTTGACGGACAATAATACAGCGCCAGGCCCTGATGGCCTAACTGCTAGACAGCTGAAAAAGATACCCATAAGAATTCTTGTGAGAATATTTAACTTATTGCTACTTGTAGGCAAAATGCCGAAATTTATCTTGGAATTTAAAACTACCTTGATACTTAAGAAAGAGGTTGCCTCCAACCTGGGGAACTTTCGATCAATTACGGTCTTATCGGTATTGACATGGATACACCACAAGATCTTTGCCAACAGGTTTGTCAAGAAAATTCGTTTGGAAAGGAGGAAATGGGCCTTCCTACCTTATGATGGAATGGCTCGGTGTAGTTTTGTTCTTGTCATGGTTCTCCGTTAATACCATTAGAACTTCAAGCCTCTATTTATAGCGTCGCTACACGTTGCGAATGCTTTAGACTCCGTGTCACATATAACAATCAGGGACACCTTAACATCGTATGGTTTCCAAAACATCTGACTAAATATATAGTCGATGTATATGAACGGAGCAGCACGATGCTTGCATGTGATGACTGGGACTCTGGTGAAATAAAACCAACGTGTAGGATTAAATGAGGGGACCCGCTCTCACCTATTATCTTTAACATGGAGTTGGACTGGCTCCTACATAGAATATCCAATGTAGTGGGGGCAGAGGTAGACAGAGTCTGGTATAACACACTTGCGTTTGCAGACGACCTCGGCTTCGTGGCTTCTACAACCCAGGGAGTCCAATTGACTCTGGATATAGTGAACGATTAACTGGCCAAATGTGGTTTGGTTATAAATACAGGTAAATCGTTCACTTTGATAATTCGGAGTGTGCCACACATGAAGAAGACGGTGGTGGACGGGAGAGCCATGTTCACCTGTGCCAACCTTACTGTGTCAGTTGCCAACCTTACAAAGAGAAGACGAGTGGAAATATCTGGGCGTACCGTTCATGCAAGAAGTTAGATCAAAAGGACAGGAAATCGAGCTCCTTTAATGCGCGCTTCAAAAATTATCTAAATTTGAAGCCATTGAAGCCACAACAGATGCTCTTCGCGCTAAGAGTGATGGTGCTACCAGGATTATATTATCTTTTGACCCTGGGTAACACCTCTCTCATCCGCGGTTTAGTTCGCCGTAGCGCCACTCCTGAACGGGACCTCCCGCTAAAATTGTGTACATTGCACGTAGATAATTTATTTTGATAGAAAAGGGATTTTTCTTTAAAACAATATACTTATAATATACATAAGATATAAACTTATTTAATGGATAAAAAAGTCTCATTAACAATTGAAAAAAGGGAATAAATAATATATAATATACAGTAATAAAATACAATATATAATACAATATATACAATAATAATACAATATATACAATAATAATACAATATATACAATAATAATACAATATATAATACAATATATACAATAATAATACAATATATAATACAATAATAACACAATATATAATATATAGTGATTAATAATTTAATTTCCTATGATATATTCTGAAACACGGATGCACGCACAACCCAACATCACATTCTTGGCATTGATATCCAGATTCTCGTCTCTTATCGTTCTTTGTACATACGACACACCTTGATCTTTTTTTCCCGTTAATTTCATAAGGAGAAGGAAAATGTCTTCCATTTAGTCGTGCTTAGTAATTGTTTCCGGGTCATATACAATGATTGCTTGATTGTTTATGGTATTTTTTCAAAATTTGGTCGATCAATTTTAATTGAAATTTTGCAATTGATAGTGTTTAACCCGTTTTTAATTTATATAAACAATATATGAGTTCCAAAGACACATGTCGATCATATGAAAAAATACTTATACCATTTCGTCGTTTTTCTTGTAGAATGTATGGTGCTGATGACCATGTCGGTCTTGTCCACAGCACCCATCAATTTACTGTATTCAAGTACACAAGATGGATTCTGTACGATATTTTGTGTACTGTACCGTTTTTTTACATCCGCAAATTCTGCCTTATGTACTGTAGAGATCATCCAAACTTCTTTCTTGTCCTGCCATTTCATGGCTAACATATTTTCTGCTGAGCGAAAGCACGCTTCACCTTTTTTCAATTTTTCGTCCATTTTCGGCATCCCTTTCCTTCTGTTTTTGACAGTGCCACACGCATTTGTATAATTTTTGTGCAAGACATCAAATAATGCGGGACTTGTATACCAGTTGTCCACATGAAGAGTGTGGCCTTTACCCAGATATGGCTCTAGGAAGGACATTACAATGCTTTCCGATTTGCCATAATCTTTATTTTCAAGCCTTATAATGGTATCACCCCCCCCCCCCCCTCGTATAAACAATAAAATCTTGGATATAACCTGTCTTGCAGTCGCACAGAACAAACGATTTTATGCCGAATCTATTTTTTTTGATGGGATAAACTGTATGAAAGACAGTCTGCCTTTGTATAGTAGCAGACTCTCATTGATACATAAGTTAGAATAAGGGTAGAAGACGTTCGAAAATGCTGCTCGTAACTCATCAATGATTTTTCGGACTTTACGTAATCGATCGGAACTGGATGCTTGATCATCACTGAAGTATAACATTCGTAGAAGTAAGAAGTACCGATCTCTGCTCATTATATCGCTAAAAATATCGCTTCTCAATAACTTATCTCGGCTCCAGTGTTCTGCCAATGATAGCCTTTTGTTGCGGGTCATCAAAAAACATATTGCAATAATGCAGTATAGTTCACTTAGATCTGCACCAGCTATTATTTCATTATTGTTTTTCTTTTCTTACCAATAGCTATTCGTTTTTTCAACAATGTACTCCATTAATTCTTCACCCACAAATAATTGGAAATAGTCTATAATTTTCCACGAGCTTCTTATCCCTGATTGTATTCCCGAATTCTGTGGATTGAAATGGTGAACTTTGGTTTCGAATTTTGCCGATGTCCATACTATATTTGATACAGCCGCATTTTCCACACGATTCTCTTCGATTTTCTCAGACTCTGAGGTACTTAATACATTCAGGCGTCTTTTTTTGCGAGGAACTATTTGTGAATCGCTTTCATTGCTGCTATCCGAATCAATTTTTAATCTATCCAAGTTGAACATCAGTTGCAATTCTCTTCTTGATGCCATTTTGTGAAGGGTAAAACCTAAGCACTTTATTGAAATGAAAAGTAACTTATAATACTTGTAAGAAGTGAGGACATTTTTAGACCGCAGGCGGACGTACCAATACAAAACTTCGCTGAAATTCTTTATTCTAAAGTTTGTAGTATTTTCGATTCTCTATTACTTTATAACACGTAACACAATAGTAATGAAAAAACGCAGGTAGAACAAATATAATTTGAATGGTGCGTCGTTTATTCGTTTCGTCAAAAGATTTACACATCAATCACAAGGGGCGCTGCTATCCAAAAACTAGATCGCGATTTTACCAGCATGTTGGATATATCCGGCGTTCGTCTCTAGAGGGCGATCATGTGAATGGATATATCCGTCGTTCGGAGCGAAAGGGTTAATAATTATATATACATTTATTATTACATAAATTTTATAATTATATTTATTAATAATCGTATATGCAAAAGATACTAGTGAGGATGCTTGCTTCGATACCTGAAAGCAACGCGACTACGATACTAAGATAAAAATCGTATGGTCGGTGGTCTCTCATGAACACATGTTATTTCCGAAACCAGAAGAAAACAAAGACCTTCAAACTTTGAAAGTTTCCGACTAATCGAGGGAAAGTTATGCGAGTGCCTTTCAAACCGATACGATCGTCGGACTTTGAAATATTTCTACTAGTCGAGGGAAAGGTATGCTAGTGCCTTTTGAACCAATGCGATTGTCGGACTTTGAAACTTTTGCATTGAAAACTTATGCAAATGGGAGTTTATCTTGCGCACAGGGAGACTTGTTTAATCCAGGCAATACAGTTTATCACTCAGGTCTCTTTCATATTAAAGGAGTCTACGTTTCCCCATTCTGGACAAGATATGCGTTTCGCTTTATTCGTTCTGTTTGAGTACTTAATATTGGACGAATCGTGCATTTTGGTCGTATCGAGCTTTTTGGACCACCCATGGATTTTGGCCGAATCGTGCAAGCTGACCGGGATTCTCCCCTATATATACCGATTAGGCGGCTGAGTGGTCGGTGACTCTGGACGAAATACACGTCGTCTTATGGAAACAATCTTGCGATTGAATTGCCGAAACGTTTCCCGTCGAAAAACATAATTAATCGATTTTCTATATTCTTCTGGACTTCTATTTACCTTTTTTAAATTATCCGTGATTAAAATTTGTACCAATATGTCGTTTTCGTCGATGAATTGTATAAAATATTTGTTTTCGTAAATTAGTAAATTTTTAACATTAAACGCGTATCGTATCGACGAAGGAACGTTAAATAAAGCCTATCCATCGATTTGTTTCGAAAAATTTACAAAACTGCATTTTTTATCCATTTGTTAATTAACACGTTCACGCCCTGGCCAATTTTCATTTGTTTTGCTATGAGGCGGCGCTCGAATTAATATCGCGCTTCATCTGGTGGCGCGTGATTATTGCCTGTTCACCCTGGCATTGCAAGGGTCAGCCAACACTTTGCTTGAAATGTTTTAATAAATTACACAAAAAACAATAAATAATGAAGTTATAAATAAAACAGTATCAGATTTTATTATTTTTACCGTATTTGTGTTTTTTTTTATAATACTGTATTATTATGTTAATGTTATTGAACAAAACTTATGTTTCTGATATATTATTAATTATAATTATTATTAAAAATAAATGTTTTTAATGAATAGATGTTAAATTTTCATTATTTTAATTTTTAGTGTCTAATAGTCTAATAATTCAGAACACAATGGAATGCGTACCGCCGATGACCCGCGCCATCCGATGAGACAATCTATTGCGGGTCACCGGTGGCCCGCGCCGCCCGATGGGATAGTTTAGTGCGGGCCACCGGTGGCCCGCGTCGAAGTGAACGTGTTAAGGCGAACAACGAAAACTTTGTTTATATCACGATATCGTTCATTGTCACGTCAGCGCCTGACGACGTGGATGAACTTATTATCCACGGTAAAGACTATTTGAATCAGGAATAAAATCTCGATAACTTCACTATTTTCAATATTACTTCCACGATTATTGTCGTAATAGTAACGACTATTGTCGGTAACTACTTAGTATGTAATCTCTTAATTGATAAAAATTTATTATCGATAAATTTATCATTGGTATCCACGTGATATTACCATCAATAAATCTATTTCATAAGGTTACTATTGATCACATTGTCTTTTGGAACTCTATTACACATTTGTTGTCATACGAGTTAAAGAATAATAATAATTGAATTTAATAATATAAAGTTAATTATTATGATTAGGTAAAAATATAAAGGAAACTATTATTTCATAATTTTATGTTAAACAATTAATAAGTAAATATGTTATTTTATTGTTAAATAATCATTATTATTATTCGTCTATAAAAGGAATTATATTATTGAATAATTATTGAAAAATTATTTTATTATTGTTCATTGTCATATAATGGCATAAATATTTAAATTACGCTTTATTTTATGAAAGGGAATGATTTTGTAATTTTACTGTCAAAAGAAATGTTTTTGATATTTATAATATATAAGGAAATGTTTTTATAATAGTAGTATAAAAACGTTTTTATAATGGTATTATGTAAGGAAATCTTTTTATAATAGTAGTATAAAAACGTTTTTATAATGGTATTATGTAAGGAAATCTTTTTATAATAGTAGTATAAAAACGTTTTTATACTGGTAGTTTGCGAAGAAATAAAGAAACAACAGGCTATATTGCGCAATAACATCCGCTGACTTCTAAGAATTGTATGTAACCACGATTTCATCATAAATGTAATTACATCTGACAAAATCCGCATTATAGAATCCAATATTTCTCGGAATTACATTCGGCTAAAGTGGTATGTCAGTTTTTCAGAAATAATAACTGGATAAAACAGGAGTTAGAATTCATAGAATTGAACGGAATAATAAAATTTGTAAAAGTCAATTCTTAGAATTTATAACTGGATAAAACCGGAGTTAGAAATCGAAGAATTGTTCAGAATAATGAAATATACATAAGCTAATTCTTAGAATAGGGAATGAGAAAAATCACGCCACATTTTGTTTTCGACCAACACATATACGAAAAGGCGGTTCGAGTAAGCGGAATAATACGGATAAATACGGAATAATTTCTAATTGTGAACATTGGAAATTAAGGCTTCTGATTTAAAACTAAAGAGAGTTACAGAGAAGTTTCAGATAGTTTCTAATTAAAATAATAATCTTAAAAATACAAGTCATAGGGAAAAGACTTGGGATGTTTTTGGTTAATTTTTACTTAAAGTTCTTACGAGTTTACAACGATCTTAACCCTTTCGCTTCGAGCGCCGGATTTATCCGGTATCCACATGATGTGTATACAAGTACCATCTGTGGTCAATGACAAATTCTTCGTTATCAGTAGATCTTTTTAAACTGATTTTATTGATGTATTGGATTAATCTTGTGATTAATCCAAATTAATCAAATATATAAATATAGTACTCCGACTCTTTGGTTTTACATCAAAACCGCATCCAAAATATCTATCAGATCTTGCGGATTATATTCATTTTTCTACGAATACATATCGTGTTCTATAAGAAGTAAGGATAATTTTGGTTAAGTGTTTTCATATTAAAATCTGAGGAATACATGCTATATTACAGCAACAATTGTTTTATTAAGCGTAGTAATTATTTAAGACTTAAAAAATGTATATACAAAAACCACGCGCACTGTGCACATTTCTGGCGCGTGCTTTCGTACGGTGACGACACTTCGGCGGAGCGGACTGCCGAAGCGAAAGGGTTAAGGAAGATCAGAGTATTGTTAACAATTATTATCGGACAGTATTACCTACGAATTAAGATCAGTTCTTTGTCGAATCCAATAAAGGAATTATTCTTAGAATTATTTTGAAGAAAGGATAAGCTCTTCTGTCTTATAAGTTAATTTTTAGTTTGATTTGTTCTAACCGAGTATTTGCTTTATACATAGAATATCAGGTTTTGAATGAGAATAAACATTATGTCGGTTAAGTGAAGAGTTTAAGATTAAAATTAAATTAATATTAATAAAATAAACGCGTTCGCGTACGGTATCGATAATTTAAATGTAAAGATAAATAAAAGTGAACTGTTATTTTGTGTACATTATTTTACTAACAATTATATACTTTATTTGTTGGAATTACGTGTTATCAGTCGTCACTAACATCAACACCCAAACCCTCTCTCATTCGACTTTTTATTGGTAATCAAGGGTCTCTGGGATCAAGGAAAGGCAACTCAAGGAATAAATTTTTACTGGTGGATTATACATTTTGATAAGTCAAAGGAGACTTCAACAAATCTTCTTGATATTAGCAGTGGACAGTTTCTGTGATACCAAACATTTTTATAAAGAGGAATAAATTACTACTCTCAACCCCAAACTATTAGGTTGGTGCGAATGAAATGTCGGATTCATAAGCGAATATATTAAACTGCATATCTTTTTCCAAAAGCTGTTTATTTAATCAAAATATGCTCCATTACTTTAATACACTTTTCCCATCGAGATTTTAATGCATAGATGCCTGTCTTGAAGAAATTCTGATCTTTAGAATCAATGAACTCTGATATGGCATTTTTCAGACTGTCTTCATTTTCGTACTGTTTAGCCCGTAAAAACAGTTCTAAATGTTTAAATAAATGAAAGTCGGTTGGCGAAAGATCCGATGAATAAGGTGCGTGCTGCAAAATTTCATATTTTAATTCATTTAATTTTGCAATTGTTTTGTACGATGTATGCGGCCGAGCGTTGTCGTGGAGAAGTATTGGGCCATGCCGATTAACAAGTGATGGGTGTATAATTTTCAATTTTTCATGCATTTCTTCAATGTACTGGCAATACTTTTCGGCTGTAATTGTCATTCCAGTTCGAAGGAATGAGTAGAGTGTATTACTACAGTCACATTCCACCAAACTGTGATTAAAATCTTCCGTGGATGAAGTGATGGCCGTGGAGCATGAGCACAAGCCTCATCCCTATCAAGCGGCCGAGCACGCCTTTTCCTATTGTCGTAAAAAGCCCATTTTTCATCACAAGTAATGATCCGATCGAAAAATGGATCTCAATTAAATCGGGTTAGCAATGATGAGCATACGTTCAAGCGATTCAGCTTATTTCGCTCGGTTAGTTCGTGCGCTATCCACTTATCCATTTTTTTCACCATGCCAATTTTAGAAAGATATCGCAATATTGTATGGTCAACTTCCATTCTGGCAGCAAGTTCCCTTGAAGAAACAGTTGGATTCGTTTCCACCAATGCTTTCAGAGCATCATTTTTCACAGACATTTCGGGTCTTCCACGCGGTTCATTTTGCAAGGAAAAATCATCAGACCGAAATTTTTCAAACCAACGCTGCACTTTTCGATCGTTCACAGAATTCTCCCCAAACGCCTGGTTTATATTGCGTACAGCTTTTGCAGCATTATTACCAAGTTTATACTCATATAAGAAAATTACACGAATGTCGGTTGAATTCATATCGGTACAAAATTCAAAGCAAATAACAAAAGGGAACACTTTTGAAAAAATCTTCTTTGCTAAAATGTGATCCTGGCAATGGACAGTACGACTATAAACCAGGTTATGTCAAAAACAAAAACATAACAAAAACAGGGAAACAAACGTTCACATTTGAAGAAAATCCGACATTTCATACGCACCAACCTAATACCTGCCAAAACGAGAGGTCGGAGTGAATGGTTTCAATCCTTGACCTGATTGTATCAGCGGCTCAAGTAATTTAACTTTTCTTTGTTCGTCCGACTATCAGGGACGTAACACTTTTCATTTGACTTTATCGATCGGGAGAGTGAAAATGTATCCGTCGATGAATTGTTAATGACAATTATTTTTGCAAAAAAGTTTTTAACAATAAACACGTGTCATATCGACGAAGATTCGTTAAATAAAGACCATCCAACGATTTGTTTCGAAATATCTATAAGTCTGACTTTTTTATCCATTTGTTAATTAAGGATGGTAAAAACGACAATGTTATAACATAGGATTACTTAATTAGATACGTAATCACCTTTTGATTTATTAAAAAAATCGATTTTTAGAACAAATGGTTTATGCGTAATATATTTTTAACTTGCAACATTATTTATAATTTGCATTTTTTTATATGACTTTTGTTAATAAAAGCGTGATGAAACGTGAAGAAACGTCTAGAAGCGTATAAAAGCTCAATAGACAATGTTTTTAAAATTGGTCGATTCGTTTGGCAGTTTTTTCCCGTGAGACACTATGTACGTCGTCCAGCGTCGCCGACCACTCGTTCGCAAAATCGGTGTATATAAGGTAACATATATATCGGCGTGCACGTCCTAAATGTCCGATCCGACCAAAATGCACGATTCGCCCAAAGTGTATGATTCTTTCGAAAAACATGATTCGCCCAAAATGCACGTTTCGACCAAAACGCACGATTAGTTCAAATGTTCGATTCGAGCGAAACGTACGATTCGCCCAAAATTCTTGATTCGATCGAATCGCATTATTCGTCCAAAATTTACATTTCGTTTAAAAGGGACGATTCGAGCGTAAGTTTCGAAGATGCTATACGACTAAACGAACGATTGCTTCTCCCGCCGTTAAGAGAACATTCTAAGTACTAAGAGGACGGAAGAATAATTTGGAAATATTATGATGAATATAAAACTTATACGAAAGGGTCGTATATTTGAGAGAATTACTAAACCGTTTCTTATTGTAAAATCATACGAATGGGAGAATTAGTGGAAAGTCATCGAACTGTAACGATAAATCATTCCAGAGACGAAGTTCTTTCTTGTCTTCGTGCTTTTGCAATATTTAATTTTCGTCGCCGTTCACTCGGCAGAGCCGAAAGGGGATCCTTTTTTTTAATTTCTAAATGGAAACTAATGTGTTCGACACTTCAGAGACTAAGTCTTTTTGCGGAAAGCGGTTGAACTTTTTATCCGCCAGTCCGTTCCCATAAGACTTCATGTATTTAATCGTGTGTCGCCGACCACTCAGCCGCATAATCGGTATTTTTAAGAGTGTGCACGTTTCGGCCTGCTCGACACCTGCTTGAGAAAGAATATTACATATTCTAACATTATTACACGGGTCGGTGTCTCTGATCGAATGGCCCTTATGTGGTACGCGCTTCGGCGTTGGATAGTTCGTTGGTTTGTCTTTGGTAAAAGAAATGTGCAGAAAATCACGGCTACTTACTGAACATCAACTCCCTCGATTCCGAGAGACAAAATTAACTTCTTTATATATTCTAAGCGCACACGAAGACGAGAAAATCTATCTATAGTCTCTTCGCTGAAAAGCCATCTGATCCGAACTGTGAATACCAAATCGTTTGAACCATTGAAGGCAAATTTTTCTGGAGTGACTCTGCTAACGTAGTTTACATCACAATTGTCCGTCTTCAGCATAAAATCCCGACGTTCCAATAATAATTCAGTCGAAGGTCGGGATGTGTTTGAGGCCATAACAACATAATATTATATAAAGTCTCAGACCCAATCTCTCTTAATACATGTTAACAGAGAGGGACGAACTTTTAAGGAAGGATATTCTTTTCTCTGATTAAATATGTAAAAGCGATAATATCATTGTCCGGCATACGTGTCGGCCACAATATGTAAAATAGTGTCGGCGAAAATCTACTGTTCTTTCAGACGGGGAGAACCTCTTGAGCTGCCTGATTGATCCTGCCAGTAGTCTTATGCTTGTCTCAAGGATTAAGTTATGCATGTTTCAGTGCTTACCGTGCTAAGGTGACACCGCGAATAGCTCATTAAATCAATTATGGTTTCTTAGATCCACATTTACTTGTATAACTGTGGTAATTCTAGAACTAATACATGCAAACCAGAGTTCCGACAAGAGATGGGAGGAACGCTTTTATTAGATCAAAACTAATCGTTGGCGTATGTTTTACATTCGTCCACCGTTTACTTTGATGACTCTAAATAACATTGAGCTGATTGCACTTTCCTAGCATCGGCGACAAGTCTTTCAAATATCTCCGTTAATCAACTGTCGATGGTAGGTTCTGCGCCTATCATCGTTGTAACGGGGGAATCATAGTTCGATTTCGGAGTGGGAGCCTGAGAAACGGCTACCACATCCAATGAAGGTATCAGGCGTGCAATTTATCCATTTTCGGCGCAGGGAGGTAATGACAAAAAATAATGATACAGGACTCATTCGAGGCCCCGTAATCGAAATGAGTACACTTTAAATTCTTTAACGAATTTTCATTGGAAGGCAAGCCTGGTGTCAGCAGCCACGATAATTCCATCTCCCATAGCATATTTTAAAAATGCTACGGTTAAAAAGCTCGTGGTTGAATCTGTGTTTCACACTGTCGGTTCACCGCTCGCGGTGTTTACTTGCATGATATGGGACGTCCTACTGGTGGGCTTAGCTCTTTGGGGCGGTTCAACTAATATCCCATTGCGGTGCTCTTCACTGAGTGTCGAGATGGGTCGATACGTATTCTTTGAATAAATTAGGGTGCTTAAAACAGGCTAACCTCGCCTGAATACTGTGTGCATGGATAATGGAATAGGACATCGGTTTTATTTTGTTGGTTTCTGGTCTCCATGATTAATGGGGACAGATGGGGGCATTCTTATTGCGACGTTAGATGTGAAATTCTTGGATCGTCGCAAGACGGACAGAAGCAAAGTCATTTGCCAAAAATGTTTTCATTAATCGAGAATGAAAGTTAGAAATTCGAATAAGATCAAATACCTCTCTAGTTCTAACCATAAACGATGCCAGCTAGCGAACCGCCGAAGTTCCTCCGATTACTCAGCGGGTAGCTCCCGGGAAACCAACGCTTTTGGATTCCGGGGTAATTATGGTTTCAAAACTGAAACTTAAAGGAATTGACGGAAGAGAACCACCAGGAGTGGAGCCTGCGGCTTAATTTGACTCTACGCAAGAAGCCTCACGAGACCCGGAGACCGAAAGGATTGCCAGATTGATAGCTCTCTTGTTTTGGTGGGTGTTGGTGCATGACCGTTTTTAGTTGGTGGAGCGATTTGTATGGTTAATTCTGATAATGAACGATACTCCGGCCTGCTAAATAGACGTACATTCTGGTATCTTGAAGTCCGTCGATTTCGATCTAGCGGTTTTTACTATCAACGTACCAACATATCTTAGAGAGTTAGGCGAATTTTAGCCCCACGAGATTGAGCAATAACAAGCTTGTGATGCTTTTAGATGTTCTAGGCCGCACGCGCGCTACATTGAAAGAATTAAAGTCTTTCCCTGGCCGAAAAGTCCAGGTAACCCGCTGAATCTCTTTCATGCTAGTGATTGGAAGTTGCAATTAGTCCCCATGAACGAGGAATTCCCAGCAAGCACGAGTCATAAGCTCGCGTTGATTACGTTTCTGTCCTTCGTACATACCGCCCGTCGTTACCACCGACTGAATGATTTAGTCAGAACTTCTAAACCTACGGAAGGACCATTTACGTATATTAATGTTGCTCAAGGAAGCAACGAGAGTGCATATATACAATATGAAACAAACAAACAAAAAGGCAATGTACCATAGGGGTAACGGTGCTTCACCGAGCCGGAGCATCTTCGAACGACGCATATCCTTAGGATCGAGGCGTGCGTTAAACTGTTTCTGTCACGGATACATGATCGCGGACCGTGTTCCTCTGACTCGTGCCTCCAACAGCGTCGTGCGATAATTATCCTCATTGGCGTCCGATCGGTACAGCGGGTCGACTCGCGCATTAAGGCGTTCGCGGTTGTGGAAATTGGGGAATCAATACGCGGCCAGCCTTCCGGCAAATCGACAAGAACGTTAGATAAGTCCCTTGTCGTCGCTATCCCCGAATACGGGCTCTTCGAACACAAGTGATATGCACTCTATGAGGTGTCCGATAATCTGTTGTATCCGGCAGAAAGTGATAGATTCGCTTGTCGGGTGTTACATCCTGCATCCTTCTGACACTTAGAATATTAATACCTGCAAATAACATTTTTCTTAGATCATGAAATATAGAAAGTAAATGGGGACAGCTTATGTATTACACATTATAATATATTTTTTTCCAATTCTCTTGTTAATCAAAAGAAGCCTATAAGGTACGAATCTTATCTGCATTGGTAACTAACACAATTATGTGGACCGTTTATTTTGAAAATATTGTAAGTCCATTTAAAAAAAAAAAGAGATATCACGTAATTTATTCTTAATTTATTGTAAATTTTTTACTTATAACTAGTTAGTGTTTAATTTGTTAAAAAATTCCTATGTTTTGTACAATTTAAAATTGGTCGGCAAAAAAAATTGCGTAATTATTGATTATGAAAGTGGTATAAGTACAACTTCCATAGGTAGGTGGCTTAAGAGATCGTTGCCGGGCAGTAGTCTGTTGATTTACATTTGAAAATAACTTGAGTTCAGTTAATGAATGGACATACAGAAAATTCTTTAAACGAAATTTTAAGTTGCATTTCTATTTGCCAATAAAGATACCTGTGCAAAATGCGATTTCTTGAACATGAAAATTAAGACAACAATTGATGACAAAGGAAAAACGATTCTTGTACAAAGACATGATGTTCACTTGCAAGATGTTGTATTAGCAAGAAAAGTATTATAAGAAAATAAAATTCTGGCATCAAAAAATACTGATAAATACTTTGCCCTTTCTTTTGATTTACAAAAAACCTTACCTTACGACAAATTATCTGTCTCAATCCTATATTATAAGTGAAGTATATTTGTATATATTTTAAACGGGGGTTTCAAAAATTTCCACGACAATAAAGTTAATATGTATGTGCGGGTAGAAACTATTGCTTTCAGGAGATCGGAAGAAGTAGCTTCTTGCTGTTTGAGGCATTTAGAAAATGTAACGACCCAATGTCATGTTATTGCCTACTCTGACATGTGTACTGGGCAAAATCGAAATTTACACATGGCATTAATGTGGTTGAAGGTTGTCCAGTCATTGGAAAATAACATTGACATAATTGATCACAAACTTTTACTATCGGGGCATTTATATCTTCCGAACGATGTAGATTTTGGCATCATAGAAATGGTATTACGAAAAAAAAATTTTCTGTACACACTACAGAATTATTCTGATATAATAATACTATGTAGAGAACATAATAAATTCATTTTACATGAAATGAAACGGGAGAAGTTCGTTTCAACAAATCTTCAAAACGCAATAAAAGAACAGATAAGAAGAAACAGTAATGGAGAAAAGGTAAATTGGTTGCAAATATGTTGAATAAAGTTTTGTCAAAAGTGCACCATACGCAATTTTATATAAAACATCGATGACAGACAAAGAATATAAACTGTAAATTTATTACTTATGCATCCTGAAAGACCGTCAAATTTGAAAAAATCGTCTTGGTGCCTTTGTACAAATATGCCAGGCCTATTACTCATGAAAATATAAAGATATCAAGCAGTTATTACCTTATATATCTCCGGTGTATCATGAATATATCAAAACACTGTCACATGCAGAGCACAAGTAAATACTACCAATATCTTGTAATTTTAATAATGTAATTAACGTCTAAAATTACAAAATACTACTTCTATTTTATATGGTGTCATTATGTGTAAACAAAATTCGATTAATATTAAGTATATTTTAAGTAATATTTGATTTTTCTAAATTAAAATTATACGATTTTTACAATAATTGTAAGTTAAATTGTAAGTCAGTTATTGACTAATTTAGAAAGTGGTGTAAGTCCATTTGAAGCCAGAAATATACATTATTTTAGTTAAATTCGCCGAAATCAAATTTATATTATCAAATTACATATTGATAAATCAGTAGAAACATTGCCAGACTTGATATAATGAACTCAAATTTTTTATTGACAAATATGCTAACCTTTAATTTTCTCGAAACATGAACTTGCACCACTTTCTAAATAAACGGTCCATATGATGCATTCGAGCCCGATGTAAAGGGAGTCCCTAGTAATATAAACATTATTATAAAATACACGATAGCAGATAAGTAATAAACATATAATTACTAAATTGAAAGAAAGGCAGAAAGATACGAAGAAATTTAAGGAATTTGTAAAAGCGATGTCAATCACTGGAAAAGTAGATAAGGACGAAGGAATTTAAGGAATTTGTGAAAGCGATATCAAATTCCGGAAAAGCTGCAAGGGACGAAGCAATTTAAGGAATTCATGGAAGTGAAAACACGTATTTTTCCGACGAAACTTTCTAAAATTCCATCCATCATACCATGACCTACGGCGGCGACATCCCCACTACGCACGACGCCATCATTCCCACTACGACGCCACTTCGAGCCGCCTACCGCAGTTCAGCCGAGTATATAAGGAGCTGCGTTCCACGACTCTTCGGTTATATTGTTCGATCATTCAACTACTATACTTTGGTTATATCGTTTTGTAGTTCGACCACTTCACTTCGGTTATTTTTCATCGTTCGTCGGATATACTACGTGGCTACTATACGCTACGTCTCTTATACGAATTTCGTTCTTTAATATCTTAAATGATTGTACACTGTTACTTGGCAACTATTAATAAATTAGTTTTGTTAATTTTAAATCGGTGTTTGTTCATATAACTCTGGCTGTGCTTCCCAGGCAACCTCGCGTAATTCTAACTTAAATTCATTAAATTCTCGCGAGGCTCAAGATCTTACTACTACGCAGTCGACAAGTTCGGAGCTAATAGGGCTACCATTCTATAAACGTGAAACCTTGATTATTATTTACTAGTGGTGCGTACGAATCGCACGAGTTATTATTCTGCATTTCCAAATCATAACTTCCTTTATTCTGAGAACACGACGTGGTAGTAGGAAGTATCGTTTTCGACGGATACTCGCGTCATTTTACGATCCGCTTCGCCATCACTCGGATTTGGGAATCATTCCAACGGAGACC